CCATGAAGGAGGTTTTGTTTACTTCTCTCGATTGAAGAACTTGATGTTTCTGGAGCATCTCATCAGTTTCTGGTGCCGGAGAGACATCAAAATTGTGTTGAATTCGCCCGGATTCAAAGAGCTGGGTTGTATCAATCCCGTGGAAGACCGCCGAATTTTCAGCTCAACTTTAATCTTCTATAATTTCAGCTTTGGAGAAGTTTTCGAAGATTCTTCACGGCCTAACTCTCAGAGATGGCTTCTTGTCATAATGAAGAGTCCATTTTCCGTCGTAGATGATAGCACATTCCGAACATTAGTGATTTCTAGTACGTAAAATGGGTGGGAACGATCTCGTATGGAGAGGTTTGCTGTTTTTCAGTCAGTCGTCAACAGCAGAAGCGCGCTCATGACTCCTCTCACCTTAATTACGAATTCTTCTAAACCAAAATTTCGGAGTCAGGGCTGTGCTGCGCTTTTGTTGTTGCTTCCTTGGCCCCATGCTTCCACGTGTTATTTCGACAGGTTTATGGAGCACCAGGTCAACGTTTCAGCACATTGAAGAAAACTTGCCAACCTGCCGATACCTCATTCAGTCCTACAAGAAACACTAACCATAAGGTAACAGATCAAACTGAAATTCAAACATACTGCAAGAAAAAAGATAGAATAGGCTTACCTATGATGTAGAGGGCTCCAGGTCTCGAAGGAAATCTCAGTATTAAACCAAATAAGCATGGCATCCCGAATCCGCATTGCTTTCCGAACAACCTAATACTTCAAGCGATTCTCTAAATAACTCTTAGCGCGCTAGCGTATGTGCTGATGGAAATGAGCTCGGTTCACATCCGATAATCACTCCTCTATGCATTGGCACAAGATTTTCGCCCGGTTGGAGAAGGCTTTTGTACAGGCACTTCCCTTACATAAACGCCATTACAGATCGGATTAATGATTTTCGCCACATTTGCTCCGGCACGAACCTGCAGGCGTCGTTTATCAAATTCAGCTTTCAATACACACGTTTCATGCATCGAAATTTAGGGAACCGAAGTTTGACCTGAGCTCCCCTTCTCACGTGATGAAGCTTTTCTAGCATTTCGGCGGTGCAACTGCTTTCGCTCCGCTAACACCTGCATGGGCTGATGGTGAGGCGGAAAGGAGCGCTCCATATGTTATGGAAAAATTACAGTTGTAAAATGTTGGAAGGCAGATAATCAGGGTTGATAATGACTATGCACTAGAGTAACGTTTCGAGCCATTGAGCACCCGCTGCGCGCGGTCATTTTGAATTTTTTCCTAATTAACCTGGCGAATCAACGAATCCGGTGACGATACGTCAGGCCGATAGGATTGTGCGCAGCGATGCGGAACTACGCACAGCTTGAAGGCAGCTGCAGGATCGTAACGTTGTACAGCGATAACACGGCTTGAACTGGCAGAGCCCTCTCCTTCGCATGATCACTCTTTCCACTTTCCCAGGCACTCAGACTTTCTCGTTCTATCATGCTCTACAGGATACCATATATACAGGGGTGGCTAAAAAAGACTCTTTGCCCACGGCGCACATGGTCGAACTTTTCGTCGCACGCCGACGTTCATAAAGGTTGCACGTGCAATGATCCTTAGAGTCTTGTAGTAAAAAGGCATGTCCTTCCGCCACGGTCTTCAGATATGACGTTATCTGCGTCACCGTCGAGCTCAACGGACTTCCTTAAGCGTGCGGTGAAGTGCTATAATAATTTCTTCAATTGATGTGCGGTGAATTAATTCTAGGAGGGGGGGGGGGGGGGGACGTAGCTGTTATTTGTGCTAGACCGCTTTTAACCAGGCGTTGTCGGGGAGTCTAATGACTATGGTAGTTACATCGCGACCTCGTGGAGCTCATCGAAGCTCATTTTCGTGTAAAATCTTCTTGAGTAGTCGGTGCGAAGGCTTCAGTGACATTTAGATAGATCTTTCAATAATACGTTGGGTTCAGTCGATTTGATTCCAAAGTAGTGATTGATTGGCTAGCTTTGAGAGTGAGTGTCTTTTTTTTGGCCGGGCCCGGAAAATATATATATTATTACGATTAGTATTACAATATTGAATATACGGTGGAGAAAATTAAGATGCGCCATAGAAAACATCTAATTCTTTTTTTAGTCCTAAAATTGACGGAATTAGCGTTTATTAAACAGCAAACTATAACATTCAGTAATGATAGAAAGGTATCGAAGTGGCCGCTGTCAGTTTTCATCTAGTTCTAAATTAGTTTCGACTTTGACGGTGCGGCGAAGCCGGACAGTCCTCTGATTTGACGAAAAAACTCTCCATTAACAGCTGAAAACTCCTAAATCGCCTTCAGCTTTTTTCTTGCTCTAGGAACAGTGTAATCGAGGAAATACTTGCAAAATTCTGTTCTGAACTTTGACATTTGCTCATATTAGTGTTTAGCACCTCTTTTGATTTGCGATAAAATATGAAAACTCATGCAAAATATCAAGCGCTCCAAGAAAGCTCTGGTGCTCTGGAAGCAGATTCACAACTATGTTGTCTTTCTTTGTCTATGAACGAAAAATAAGGTCAGGATATGTTTCGGGTGAAACTCCAGTTCGGGGGGGCCACTCCATTTTTTCTCCAATACTCAAGATAAGGATTAGAGGGCTCACGACACGTAATCGACTCATTTAAAGTAGACTTCTGATAAGTATCGGTGTAATGTGGAAGAAACCCTGAGATGATTTCATATTTTCGCCTGTCTGGTCCAGGGAAACAGTCCTGGACCAGGAGAAAGGACACCTCCGCAAAGGGCTAAGGGTGCAGGAGCTCCAGGGTGGATCACCTGTGCAGAAAAGTGGATGGGATGTGGGCAGGTAGTGTGGAATGTAGGACATCCACCGGTCCTTATCAAAAGTACGCTCGAAATGAGTCGTTCACTTATTATCTTATCCGTAGTGTTCGATAGCCCAAAGAACTGCTCTCTAGTACTACGGATAAGATAGCAATGGAGTGCCCCCCCCCCGAACTGGAGTTTCACCTTATTTGGTATCGTCAGCGTAAAATGCCACCTGTAAATATATAGTATATTATATGTATATAGTTATATCATATATATATATATTGTATTATATTATATATTCTATTGAGAGGCATACAGAATATATATACATGCAACAAACAATATATAGAGGCGGGCTCGCCACGAATTAGGATAACTTATTGCCATCTGGCTGTTGCTTGTATCTACAAGCTTTCATCGAAGTCATTCTTTAACGGTCGGCAAATACTAGTATTGAAGGAAGCCAGCGCGAAGCAGGTTGCGAAGAGGGTTCGCACGGTTGCCAATCCACGGTTACAAGACTCATTGAAGTTTCACGAGAGTACAAGATGCCGCTTTGTCTCACGTTCATAGACTTGAAGAAGGCCTTCGACTCTGTGGAGACAGAAGCGGTTATCGAAGCCTTGGGAAACCAAGGCGTCCCTACTCAGTACATCAGTTATTACGCCTACGCAGTATCAAGATTCTTCGTGAGCTCTACAGCAACTTTACGACCAGAATCTCACCATTCTACAAGGAGGTCATCATCGACGTCAAGAGAGGGGTTCGACAGGGCGACACCATCTCGCCCAAACTCTTCAGCGCCGCTCTCGAGAACGTCATGCGTCAACTGGAATGGGAAGACATGGGAGTGAAGGTCGACGGCCGGCAACTACACCACCTTCGTTTTGCTGACGACATCGTTCTTATAACGCCGAACATCGAGCAAGCGGAGCGAATGCTGGCTGATTTCGACTGGAGATTCCTGAGTGGCGCAATACGTTTCAACGATGAACATTACGAATTGCTCGCTCGTTCTAGTCGGGAATCAATATGTTACGATTGTTCGACGAGCTTAAGCGGAGGAAACGAGCGCTGGGGAGCATTCAGAACTGGAGTGTGAAGAAGACGAAGAACATCCGGCTCCGTGCCCACCTCTTCGATTCCGCTGTCCTTCCTGCCCTAACCTACGCCTCAGAGACTTGGACTCTGCGCAGGCAGGACGAGCATGCGGTCAGCGTTATCCAACGCGCTGTCGAGAGGACGATGCTAGGAGTAACCCTATACACGCAAGTGCAGAGGGGAATCCGGAGTTCGGAACTACGCCAACGATCGAAGATCAGGGACGCTGCCGTTTTCGCCAAGGATCGAGATCAGGCCGGACATGCCATGCGGTTCTGCGATGACCGTTGGACCAGAGCGGTTACAGAACTGGATCCCGAGAGAATCAACAAGCCTGGACGAGCCCGGCGTCATGGTCAGACTTCTGCTATGAGAGTCTGAAGAAGAAATGAACGACTGTGTCTCTCGAGCGGGAGGATCACATTGACACTCTAGACTGCGACGGACGAATGGAAGTATTCTAGCTCACGCTCGGTCAAAATGCGATACAATCGAATGACCGGTGATAAGGGGTATTACAATAGTTTAGCACATTTCCATTACATCCTCCCCTCCTCGCTCTCTTTTGCATATGGTAGCCTTAGCACGGGTTGTCGGACCTACCTTGTTGATATCCGGAGCCGTACACTCTCTCAGGCAGCTTACAATTTGTCGGCCATTGCCCCTCCTCTTGGATGATTCGACCTTGACTACCCCCCACCCCCCTCCAATAACCTTTCCTTCTCGACATAGCCATTTGGGCACTTGCTTCTGTTTTTCCCTTCACCTTATTAGCTGTGTATACCAAGTAGTATTGCTTATAGAATTTGTTTGTACTATATTTATAAAATAGATAAACATGGGTTTTATACTGTTCTATTGTATCCTTTTTCCATTTTTTATGATAATCGTCCGGTTTGATAAATAGGTAGTATAACAAAACTATATATTCTATATACCGTTTCTGATATCCTCTGTAACGTTTCTTTCCTTCAATTTCAGTGGAGTGATGGTAAGAAAAACCAACATACCATTTCTTTTTTGGATCCCGCTGCGGTCTAGCTATATACCAAACTTTGCAAATTAAATCGACGATATTAGCCTTCTTGTCCGAAGTTCATAGATCGATCATGCGATCAAGATGAACACTCACATCGTCGTCGACCTTCATTAGAAACTGCGCCTTTGGACAGTACTGCTGATGAAATACCATCGAGGCGTACACCTTAATATAATGATGCTTTTTCTATTTCTGATAAAAGGTTTGAGAACGATACATACAACAAGGACAGTTTTGGAACTCCATCCTGAGATAACCTCAAAGGCAGTTCAGCAAAATCGTTGCGGTCATCCCAGTCAAAGATGGAAATAGTGATAGGAGGTGGTCCACGAGTGGAGAAAAAAGGAAAGCAAATTGTGGAAAACACAAGAAGTACGAGCTTTCTTGCTCTAGGCGACGCGAAGGTATACAATTTCTTTACAACAAATCGTTCACCTTGAAGACGAGGTTGTCGTACGTTTCTGGGAGGTCAGTCACTATGAGATCATTGTGCTTCTTCTGTTCTTTGCGCAACATGTACAGCTCATGAAGAGAGGTTGGTGCTGATAGAATGAAGAAGACCAGTACGCGCCCTGTCTGGAAATTCGCATGATCTGTAGTAAATGGAAATGTTTTGATATACAGGGTGTCCCATAAATATTGCACCAAATTTTGAGCTCAAATTCTGTAGGTGTTTATAGCTTTTCTTCCGAGATTGGCAGACCTTTCAATCCTCTATCCTCTTGTCAATGACCATGCCAAATTCCACGGCTTACCGTTCGGCCTGCATCTCATGGTGCGCCTAAACTTCAACAGAGTGCCTAACCTCTCACACAGCTAGGTCGGACATCCGGTGATGAGCATCGCGCTTCTTTGGATTTTCAACCGCTCCGCGGCCTACCGTGTACTGAAGAGAAGACCAATAAAAGTAGTCTTTGTTGTGGCCGCCCCACAAGTTCTGACATCTTGGATCTCAGGAAAAGCATGAAGAAGCGAAACGACTGCAATACCCGGGTTGGCTCGAGAAAGGTGACCAGAACGCTGGAGTTTCTAAACACAGCCATGTAGAGAGTGGTCGGATAACAACTGCTCACAGTCCATTATAAGTTGCATAAGCACCACTGCTCAATCCAACGGGAGGAGCACAGCAGAGACAAAAAGTTCAAAGAGCTGGTGTCGAGGGCCGAAAATGGCGATTACGCGGGCACCGTTTTCATCGACGACAAAATTCCTCACATGGAGCGGAGCTACAATCTTCAAACTTCGAGGATGCCGCATGAGGTCTTGAGGAAGTCAGTGAGAGTGAAAGGAATATTCGCCACAAGCAGCAGCCGAACCTTATCATGGTCTGGACGGGGGTCTCAACTACCGGTCGCTCACCATCACTGCCTGTTTACAAAGGAATACAACTTGATACTAGACCGAGCCAAGGGACATTTCGGTGCACCATCTGTTACTGAGGTATCTAGCCACTTTGAGGAGGGGTGATGATCTTTTCAATATTCAGGAGCGCTGTCAAGGCACTCTTTCCAATTTCACGTCCTCAAACAAATGGCTCTCCTATCCGTTGGTTTGAACGAGCCGGACCTTCCTATGTAGGCCCTGCACGTATTATTGCATCCACATGGACGATCCGAAGCCTTTTCTCAGCAAACTTTCGAAGAGGACACTCTAGGATGCCATGAGTGCCATAGTATAAGGGGGGTGAGTTGCGCTCGAAGCAAATGTGGGAGCCATGCTCACAACGGAGCGTGTATTGGCTAAAATTTTTGTCCCAAAACGCTCTTAAAAATACTCCATTTCTAAAGAAGTCGCCAGAAGAAGTGATGCAATATTTATGGGAACACCTGTTATATATATGTAATATGCATATTTATTAAAATACAATAATATTACAGGGGTGGCCAAAAAAAAGAGACACTTCACTCAACATTCAAAACGGAATTATTTACGCGTCGCGAAACCAAACCAAATGACCCCAACTGAATATTGAAGAGCACGTTATAATCTATCAACAAGCTACACAACAGCCTTCTACACCGACGACATCAGAAGATTTTCCCACGGAAGCATTGTGCACGGTACGAGCTCAACGAGGTCGTTCGAGATACCATAGACGATTACGACGTCTCTGAAACGCAGGTCAAAAGCGGTTTTGCATAGTCACAGCTAATGTCTCTGGAAAGCTATTCAACAATTAATTCACTGAGGAAATTGTGTAGCAGCTTCAGGTCGGAGCGATTACGGTAAGCCTCGTTGAGCTCGACGGTGACGGCAGATGACGTCATATTCTGAAGACGGCGGGGCAGTGAAGGAGGGCCTGCTTCTGTTTACGGGGGAACACCTAAGGAATATTCGCCGTAAAACTTTCATTAACATCGGCTCCCTGTGCGACGAAAAGTTCGATGATGTGCGCCATGGGCTAAGTGTCTTTTTTTTGGCCACCCCTGTATATATATATATATATATATATATATATATATATATATATATATATACAAGGTTGGCCAGATTGCATTGCCCTTTTACGATATCAATCATTTTCATCTCCTATCACCTGTGTCACAGGCTCATCACCTTTCGTTACGCAAAGCATGGATGCCTACCGCGTAGAACTCTTTCTGGTTCGACTCGAAGAAGTTGGGCACTCAAATTTTGACGTCGTCGCGGTTATCGAATTGGTTTGCTGCTAAGGAGTGTTGTGCTGACCTGGGTCAGTGATAGTCGGACGGCGCCAGACCTGGCTATATGGCGCGTAGGACGTCACAGCCCGACCTTCTCGATTTTGTTGTTGCGTGATTTTCACGACATGTGGTCTTCCGTTATGGTGCAATAGTTTTACATTGGCCGAATTCACCCCTTGACGACGCAGAGCTCGGTCCACGCGGGCGGCTGTTGTGCGCAGGCTTCAGCTGTAACTGTCTGACCCACAATCAGCTCTCCATAGTAGGCCAGTCTTTATACTGTTCCACCACACCGTAGCACGACTTTTTTCAGTGGATGTCCGGTTTCAGAGAGGCCCTCAGCTGCCCATCAGCCGCCAACCGGTCATCTTCTCGCGTTGTTATTGGGAAACATCTCTTTGTAAAATGCGGTCAACACGAAGTCAAGAACCTTTTTCCTCTTGAAGTTATGGAGCGAAGTTCCAGTATTGGCAACCAGTACTGCTTGCTCGCGTCGCTCAGAATAGGCCGAACCCATTTTCTATCCTGAAAGGCCTTAACAGTCGCACGTAGGAACTTTTAAATTTTTCTGTTGACACAACTGAATCTCCATGCAAGTTTTGTGCGGTTTGTCGAGGACTCAATTCGTTGGCTTTCTTTATTTCTCCGTCATCTAGAGCTAGAGGTCAAATTTCCACGATCTTCCGCCTCAAGTCCTTTACCTTAGTCTTGGAAGAGCTGAAACCATAGCTGAAAGGTGCATCAGAGACTAAGTGTTACTGCTCAATGTTTTGCGCACAATGAGTGGGATTCGTCGGCCGTTTTTCGTTGCTTGAATATACAGGGTGGTCCAAAATTATGAGGACCAAGACATTGTGTCGTTAAAAACGCATAGTAGCTTGATGGAACAAACCAACTTCTGGGAAGTATTTGTAACTCTTACCTCAAAGTAATTCCAGAATAGAATTGAGATCTGCCACTTCCCCCGTTAACACGAGCCTTCGGATGAGGGGATGGCGCGTGCGGTGGCACGCAACTAAGGCGTGTCCAAATGTTTCCAGGCCTTCTGCTCTGCCTTCTTCAGGGAATCAAACTTTTGTGTTGCATTTATTTGCGCTTGCATCCAGGGTGTGAAATACAGAAATCTAGAGCTATTAGGTGGATGGTTCCATTGTAACAATTCTTCGAAAGCAACGAACTCGAAAAATCGCTTTTTGGAGGATTTTTGCTTTATTCTTGGGTGCTCGGTCCTGTAAGAAGTTCTAAGTAGACTACTCGTGTGGCTTTCTATCCACTACAGATGTGGAGTCTTTAGAGTGTCTGGCTGGGTTTTCACATCAATTTTTTCATTTTGGGTGTACGAAAGTCGACAAGGGGAGACCTAGTTTCTGCATCTGATAATTATCCTGGTGGTAACTGTAACTTTCGAGTCCCCGAATTTTCCATCTGTGGTGATTCCAAACTTATTGAAGAGTTGAACTGTTGCTCATAAGGGCTTCTCTGATAGGTTAGACTGCTGCTAGATGTAACGTGCCAGAGCCCCTAGTGAGTTCAATTTGAGGACTGACTCAAAGTGAAGTAGTTATTTCACTAGTTTTGAGAACTTCATGAAATTTGGTTTCATTAGGAAGAAGACATTGTACCCTTTCACATAGTGCACAGAAAACGAGATGAAAATGGAGCGATACGGAAAAAAGTGGATATGACTGCGCACGCGGTCCTCATAATTTTGGACCACCCTGTATACGCTCGGACGATGATTCCTGATCAGTCATCTTCGAGCAAAAGTTTTGGCTCGAAGAACATCCGCTCAGTGGCGCCTAAGGTTTCGCAATATGCGTGCTGAATCGCTCTCTCGAATGAATGGTCTCCCATCCTAAGAGATTGTGTTTGAAGCTGAGAAACAAAGGCACAAACGGAAGCGACATTTCAATCTTGTCAACCCTAATTATAACTATATGATACACAAACACACAACATAGAAACAAGAACCCTGAGCCATATAAAAAGAAGCGGCTGCGTTACAGCAGTGAGACTGCATCTTTTGAAGCCTTAGGATTGAGCAAAGAGGTAATTCCTCCTACAGTGTGGAAGAGTGGTCCTGACTAGAAGCCGCAACAGTGCCGTGATTCAAAAGTGGCGCGGTAAGAGTGCTAAGGTGTTGTCTGTACGCTGCCGGCGCTGCCATTTTACCAATCGCGCCATACGCGGCTGCGCCCTCTCGCTTACGAGTTGCTCTCTCGCGTTTTCAATCTTTTCGCAGCACTGTGTCTCTGGTAACACAAATGAGCGATTACTAAACAAGGGAACCCTCAGTTATGCTGCTTTCTAATTTTTTTTCTTCTTTCAGGTTCGCTTATCGCACTTCTTGCATTATTTCTGAACAAAATAACTCCCAAATCGATCCGCACCCGTTCCTTCAAGTTAGGTCGCGGTTTGAACGGAAGATTCCTGCGAGATGCCTAAAGTGTTGGGCAAGTAAGTGAATGACTCGTGAATCGCTAGCTGTCATTGAATAGTGGCAGTGTCGCGGAGCCAATAAACTGCCGAAACTTCGTATTCATCACTTCATCATTACTATTTGACTCGGAGAACGAATTCTAACATACTTTGACAGCGTCAGACTCTCTAGGCGATGCCCAAGTTTCTCGAATAGCTCGTCGCATCTGTAAACGCTTTGTGGTTGAAACTACCGTAGCAACCAGCAACAGAGAGCTGAAACGGCGCATATTAAAATGAATGCTTCGCTATTTTTGCGCACCAACACGTGGCCCTTCAATGTCCAGTCTTGAACTCGAATCTGAACTTGCACTTGCATCATATAAGCAGTGCTTCTCTTTTTTCACCATTGTTCATTTCTCTTCATTTTGAGTGCGCATTAGATAGCTTTTACTTGACTGTGAGCATCCTTTGAATCACGCCGGTTATAACAACCATATATCAGTATCACTTATCCACTTACAAAGAGGATCGTTCAGGGCAAGCCGCGCTTTCTTTATGCGGTTTCTTGCATGGGAGGGGCACAGACACGTGTTTCATTCTCGCAGGACGCTTTTAGTCCTGCGCCTTTTAGTAGTGCCAAAAATCGAAAGAGGAGATCTATTAATGGCACGCTTCCCCGTGGTGCGAGGATTTTGCATTATACCGTGGCGATTAAAGAATGGCACCGGCCGCACGTCACCAAAACTGGCAGTAGACAGGATGCTTCGTCGAACTTGTGAATAGCTGGTCAATCTATCATGCACAATTCACTCGGAATCGGCCACTTCTTAGCTCACAACTTCCTACAGCTAGTTATGTGACTAGAGCGCAGGTTAAGAATGGCCCTTAGGCGGGAAGGAGAGAGTGGAGAGGCGCGTGAGCATTCTCACTCTCTCCGAACTTCCTGTCCCCTGTCA